ACTAAACGGTTATAGGTGGCACAAAATTCCCACACAAAACAATGAGAATGGGAAGAGAAAAAGAAGGTAAGGTGCGTATAACAAAAAACAACCACAGGTTAGTGTAAGGTAGTATAATAATAATAATAATAATAATAATAATAATAATAATAATAATAATATTGGGGGAAACGGAAAGGTACAATAGGAAGAATTCTTTCACTTAAGGAAGTTGCAACCACTTTTTATGAAGAAAGTAAAAGGTTACAGCAAACTGCTCTCACCGACGCGTTGTAGATCCGACCTTTCACAGCCAGACGCACATCACGAAGGCGCCAAAGGTTGCCCAGATTGGCATAAGCCGCTCTGGCTTTCACTATACGTGCATTGATCTCATCACTCATGCCACCACCAGCACTTATGCAGCTACCCAGATACACGAACTTCTCGACTACTTCTATATGCTCACCATCCAGAGTGAGTACAGGATTAGAATCCTGCCAGTCTTGTAGAAGTACTTTGCACTTCGAAGGTGCAAAGCACATACCATACTTACGGACACTGATTGCCAACCGATTAAGCGCGAATTGCATGTCTTGGGCATTATTGCACAGTAAGAAAATATCATCCGCATACTCAAGGTCGAGAAGTCTTTCTCCAGGCAACAGATCCACACCGCCATTACTTACATCCATCAGAGCTGTTTCCAGAATGTCATCGATGGCAAAGTTGAAGAGGAATGGTGAGATTGGGCAACCCTGCCTAACCCCACTGGTCGAATGGAACAATGGAGAGAGGTGGTTGTATGCCCTCACTCTTGCTGCCAGTGGCTCGGATGTGTTAGAAGAACTTCCAGTAGTTACCAGATGCAGATGCTTCTTCCAGCTCATTAGCAAGCTTCGACCACCAGGCTTCTCGGTCCTTACGAAAGCTTTGCCCAATTTCATGACGTAACATCCTTCGTTTGTGGTCAAACTCACGGTCACCCGGAGTAGACCGATGGGCTTCGATGAGTTGTAAGCAGCCTGAAGAAACCCAGTGCTTATAAGCGGGACGTTTCGCGAACCTGCAAACGGCTTTACTCGCCATTTCATGGCGTCATGAAGTTGCAACCAACGCTCATCTATACTTTTCGGTGGAATGGTAGCTAGCCTAGAGGCTGGCTCGGTTCGATAATTACTTGCAACAGAAGTTGCAACCAATTTGCTGACACCAATCCGTTGGTGACGATCAATTCTTTGCCTACTGAAAAGTAAGGTAAGTTTGGCGCAGACTAGGGCATGATCAGAGTCCAGATAGGTACTCCAAAAGGAGTGGCAATCTTGCACATAACCACGCCAGCGGTAGCTGATCGCGATGTGATCAATCTGAGTGCAGGCTTGAGATGTAGAGGGAGGATGCCAGTTGGCACATCGGCGATGACTGTGTCGAAAGTTAGTGCTAGCCAGAAACAGGTTGTGGTCTATGCACACCCACAGTAGACGATTCCCGTTATCTGTCCTGCGATCAACAAGTCACCATTGGTCACCTAGACGACTCTCTTCCGTGCCTAGACGCATGACCTGAGCATTCAAGTCTCCGGCTAGTACTACAATGTCTGTCGAACTCACTTTCTGGAGAAGAACAGTTAACTGGTGGTCGAATTCATCCTTGATTGCATCTGGGCTGCAATCTGTCGGCGCGTAGGCGCAGATGACGAAAAGACATCTTTTCTCACGTCGATTTCTCCTTAATTAGATGGGACGTTCTAGTCTAACAGCACATAGCCGACTGTTAATGGGGATCCAATCGATTTGTGCTGCCTCAGCCCTAGCACTTAGTGCGACACCAACGCCAGCAAGACCAGACGAAGATGCCACAGGGTCTCCGGATAAACGCACGTGAAACAAGCTTTTCGAAGAGACTGATGGAGAGTGGATTTGTACTATTTCACTAGAGCCTTGAATACGGGTCTCGGATAAACAAACATCAATATTAAGACTTTCTAAAGACATAGCCAGCCCTACCTGTTTTCCGATTTGCATTAGTGTGCGAACGTTGAAGGCAGCCAGTTTGAATGGTGCACGTGGTTTCAGAAAAATTGCTTCAGTATTCGTATTTGTTGGTAGCATACGATTTTCAACCAGACAGTAACTCGAGAACGTTTAGATAGAACAGAGTTTCCACCATAGGCGTGCTGCTGTATAAGTTTAAAAATAAGGATAGACAAAGTGGGAATAAAAGAGTGAATAAGTGACGTGGTAAGTAATAATAATAATATGAATTTTTTGACTTTCAATCGAAGCATGAATAGTATTTTCAGTGAATATCGTCATTTCATTTTATTTGTGTGTGTCACATCGGATCATACAATAGAGGATCAGATCGATCATACTCGCATCACTAAAATAATCAGAAGATCCACAGAGGACGTGAAATCAAGGAGAGGAGCTGACATTATGGCAATATGAAACTCAAGCCAAAGAAACACTGAAAAACTATAGAAAAAGCATCACAAAAGCTTAATACAACCTCCCTTAGACATACTGACAACTCAAATCATCACTAAGGTCAATAATCAGAAATGCGTAGAAGACCTAGCAATGATAGCGGAAAAGGTTGAACGAAAAAGAAATGTGAGACAGCTATACGACACAGTGAAGAAAATATCAGGGAAACATTGTAAACCAGAGCGACCAGTCAAGGACCAAGAAGGCAAGCCAACCAGTTAGATCGAAAAACAGAGAAAAGAATGGGTAGAACACTTTAAAAAACGTTTGGATAGACCAGCTCCATTGAATCCACCGGATATCGAAGCAATACCTGGTTGGGGACCGCGAGATGATAGCAACCGATGGTTAGAGACCCTGAATGACATGGCTCAAGGTCATTTGCAATGGCGCAGGTGCATCCACTCTTTGTGTTCTCCCAAATTCTAATCTTCTGAACTCTTCATGTCCCTTTCTTTTTCTCTTTCCAAATTTATTTCACTGGATTATACTCCATGAATAAAATCTTCAAACCCTAATTTTATTGATTACAGCTTATAATTTTACTACATCTAGCACTACGGGATTTGAATCGACCACTGCATCTCTGTGCTAATGTGGTGTGGTAACTCGAACTGATGTACGTACGTACGAAGTCCTACGTTGTTACTGACTGACTGACTGATATCGAAGCAACACACACAGGCCTTTCCATAGATGTCACATCACCAACGTCCGAAGAAATCAACATGATTATCAGACAAATCAAGAGGGGGAAAGCTGCTGGACCCGACAATATACCAGCTGAAACACTTACGTCAAATATAGTAAACATGCTCCACGTCCTATTCAAGAAGATTCGAGGGGGGAGGAACAAGTGCAGACAGACTAAAGAGGAAGATATCTCATGAAGATACAAAAGAAAGGAGGGTTGGCCAAGCAACAACAGCATTCCTATAAGTGAAGAACATATATAACTAAAAACAACTATCTACAAACCAACATCAAAGTTACAATCATCAATACGAACGTCATGATAGTTCTACTGTACGGAGCAGAAACTCGAAGAACTACCACAACTACCATCAAAAATGTACAAGTATTTATAAGCAGTTGTCCACGCAAGATACTCAGTGTCCGTTGACTGGATACCATCAGCAACAGCCTATTGTGGAAGAGAATAAACCAGCTTTTAGTTGAAGAGGAAATTAGAAAAAGACGTTGGAAGTGGATAGGAAATTGTCATAATTAGGAGTATTGGAATTATAATACAAACTAGGAATCCCAGAAATAACGCAATTGGATCGAGGAGTATAAGATAAGCATGAACGGATGCACTGTATTTGGAATTTGAAATCAAGCATTCAACGTGTACAAAGGAATCATTAGTTCATTCAAACACCACAGACATACATTGTGGAAATCATTAAACAGCATCACAAAGCAAGCGCAAACTTGGAATCGTGAAGGGAAGTGGAAAAGAGGAAGGCCAAAGAATAAATTTAAATGGGAATCGGAAGCAGACATGAAAGAGATGAATAACAACTGGAGAGGATTGCTCAAGACAAAGTTCGATGGAGAGTACTGGTGGGTGGCTTATGCTGCTCGACGAGGGGTAACAGGCGTAACTAAGTGTTTATTATAAACGAGCATTTTCGTTAAACAATATTCTTGGGGGCAGAATTAAGGAAAATTTCTTTTCTGAAGAGTAATACCCCTGTATACAAGTTTATTGAAAATGATGGGTGTTTTGACGAGGTATTCTGTTGGGTTCAGGAAATTACCACACAACTTGTAGTTCCAGTTTCCTCAAAATTATAGACAAACCTTGGTAATGAGATACTAGATTTTTTGTTTATTGCTTTAATCTACATGATTTTATTGAGATAGTTTAATTCTTCACGTTATAGGTATAGAAGTATATGATGACTGAAAACTAAGAATAAAATAAAAAATCAGTCCAAATGATGATTATGGCCCATATAGCTCAACGTATAACAAGAATTTACGATTACCGAACGGATCTTAATCTTTTATTTTACAAATACCAACAAGGGTAAGTTCAAAAGTCAATACTTCCCTAACCTAGCACACACATCCTTGTTTGACTAACACAACTATGATTGGTATACATAAATCTGACAATCACTAACTGAGAAGTGGTTTGATCTACAGCATTATCTAATGACTATACAGTTTCACTAATTCGAATCCATTCTTTGGGGCTATGAGTCTTGAGTTTTATCTAAGAAAACAGATCTTGTTTCCCTTCGATATTATTCACCGATCTTATGATATCATAAAACTAGTAGTTTATAGATTAAATGAACAGAGTAATTATCTATGAACGTTTATTTCTATTTTGAACTTGTTAAATGCACGCTACATAATAATTTATGGAATCCATTTCTTACTAAACAGATGTTATTTATAAGACTATTCATTTTCTCTCTTTTGACAAACGAACTGCTTATTTGTTTATGTTTATATATTAACATTTAGAATAAATAGTGCCAGTGAGTGTTAGTTTAATTGTTGAACCAACTGATTTATATTTACTGTCACCGTCTGAACAAAAACAATTTAAATCTGAACAGTATAGCATTATCATTAACTATTGCATAATCTCAAAATCGAAAGATCATCAACAATTATAAATTCTTGTGAAGCAACAAGGAAGCAACTATAATGCATAATACTATATATCAAACGTAAAGTTGTCAATAAGGAAACAGTGCCTTATTATGAAACAAGTGACAATTAAAAAAAAATGAAATAACAACTTTTATCGTAATAAATAACCATCACAAGTCAAATTACCCCTTATAGTAAAGAGACAAAGGCAAGTTTACAAACATACATGCATATTAAGAGTCGGGCTAGTGTTTTGAGTTAAGTTTACAACCCCATAGAGTTTTCATCACCAACTGACATTAGTTATAATGCTAAAGGTAGGGGTTAAGCATTAAGAGTTCAACTGGATTTTTGAGTTAGTCTTGCAAATTAAGGTCAAAGTTTCCAACACGAACAAACATCAGCAATAATGTAGTGCCTTGCCATTTTCCCGTTTACAAACCTCTGATACTTAGAGTACGAATAAAACAGGAAGAATACTATCTAGCTTCACTAAACATTTGATTACACAATGGGCGATAATAGGTGCTTTAATTCAAAATCCTCTCAAGAAGCAAGTATGTTATGTAATTTAGTCTTAGCACCATTTAAATTAACTTTTTGGTTACATCGTATATATTTTCATTGATCTCAAACATTCTAAGAACCAAACACTGCCAATTATCTCTTGGTTGATAATGTCAGATACGCTATCTATCACTGCACTTTAAACTTCGAGCAAAATACATGAGGCGTTATCTTAATTATGACTGGTTAACTCAAGGCTGCCAGGATATTATACTTTTACCGATATTTCTCCCTTTGTGATAAAAATAATGTAGATAATCCATGCAAAGTTGAACACTAATCAAATTTTACACTCACTAAACATTACTCAGTTGCTCCACCAATTAATGATGCTGAAGCAAAGCAGTAAACATATATATAATATGAAAGAGTGGGATAAAAATTTAATTAGATTGTAGGTAATATGAGATAAAATATTTTTAAGGAGGTGGGAGCATAGGAAATAATAGTTACAATACGAATTACTTATTGATACATAACAAAAAGAAATTAAACTTGTAGTGATGAACATAATGAGACGAAAAAAAAGAACAATGAATTATCATAACTACATGATTGTAAAATAATGCTCATAACATTAATACTAGCAATATGAAAACCACTGGAAAATTTCAGTGAGAAAAAGATTGTTATTTGGTTTGAATAAAGAGTAGTCTGTAATACTGCTGCTAACTTAATTTTAAACGCTTAACAAAATAACGTCAAGCAATAATAATAGTAATAATAACAATAAGAATTGACGCAAATTTGCTTGAATATGCAAAATTTTTAAGGGTACAAACGAGAATATTCACTTGATGAATATTATAGAACAATGCATGATCACAGTAGGGCTATTGCACCTAAGGAAAAAAAGGAAACCAAACAGTAGACGACTCTTGATAAACAAAGATTAGCCTAATGAGAAAAAAGAAAAAGAAACCACATTATTGTATCGATTTTATCGACAAACTAACGAATAAAAGAATTAATTCATTTACATAATTATATACAGAAAGTAACAATATTCATATTATTTGTTTATATGTTATCATAAATTATTTATATCTGATGTATCAACAGCTGTAACATCTGATCCTATGAGGTAATGATTCATTTGTTCTGGTTTCGGTGTCATTTGTGAAGTTTGTGGTTGTCCTTCTATTTTGACTCTTGTTAAATCAGGTCGAACAGCATTTAAACATTCCAGCTAATATCCAACGATGATCGACGTCCACGCATCCATGCTACATATTCTTCTAATTTGTCATTGCCAATAGCAGTTGTTGCATTATCTTAAAGAAATAAATCATAATAGAAGATTGGTGAGAAAAGAAATACGACCAAATAATGTTAAATATACTGGAGGATATTTAAAAAAAAACCCAGTAGTTTGAGTTACATCCAATAGAAGTGTTCAGTTCGTCCAGAAATTACTAATGATTTTGATCTGCCTAGATTTTTGTGCAGTTGTTTCTCTAATTTTGAAAACAGCTATAAATTATCAGTACTATTATTACTATGATGTGAAAATGCATTATCACCTCAGAAGCTGTAAAGATGACACGTAATGAAGTTATCCTTAGTTCAACCAAATATCTATACTAATTGGGATAAAGAATAAAAGCTGTTATATGTGCTCTGTTGCTACAACCCAGCTACAATTATTGCTTAGTATTCTTTGGACACTTTGCGTCACTCGATGAGTCCCCATACAAGAACACGTTTGAACAGGAACGTAATTATGTTCCAAATAGACAAGATTGAATGGAAGTAGGAATCACAATAAGAAAAACATTATAAATTTACACAAGATTCTAGAGTCATCTCCAGTACAATCCTGAACGCGACACGTTTTAATCCTATTTATATCACGCTAACAAAGGCATAGTACGAAAGTAAAATATGACATTTGTATACATAAAGATATAAACGTCACTAGATCAACAACAAACATTTTAGTATTAAAAAGTGCTTTCTGATGTGATATTGTTTTAGACTTCAGTTAATGAACTCAGAGCTGTTGAAAATTTCTTAGATACTTATGATGATAACTAAGTATAACCCAAATATGACAAAGGAGAATTAGAACAGAGCATATAACAAGTAAAATATTTGGCCTGCCGACTTAACCATGCACAAGCTAACCTTCAAGAAAATAACAGCACCCAGTAGTGACTAGGAGGATGAACACGATACAGATTTTACTGCGCGCAAACATAGCATTATATTTATCGAGATACTTATATACGATCTATCGAATTTTTTCGTCATTTGAATATGAATTATATATATATATATATATATATATATATATATATATATATATATATCAAGAAAAACAGTAACAAACAGCTGAGCTTACCATGATGAACAGAGTTCACATGACGATAAAAATCCCAACGACGGACAAAACCCTTATGACATACATTACATTCATATGGCTTTTTATCTAAAATTGCAAAGGACAATGTTACCATTAATATTACCATTTTAACAACGACAATAGAGAAAGCTTTTTGGCAAAAAAAAAAACTGTCATTCTTTTAAACGTGACAATACAACAATGGTAAATAAAGATATTTCGTTGGATTTCATATTTATTTATTTGCTCGACTTCTCTTTTTATATACATTAGTACTCCGTTACATGATAATTTATTTTATTTTAACGAAGTTTATATTACTACTTGGATTTTATCTTGTGCAATAAATTGGCATGTTGAAAGTTTTGGTCTGAGTAAATATATTTACTTTTTAAAAGTTATCGCTTACGTGGATCTTTGATGTAGAGGTCGTTAGTTCACACCGTATTTTAGGAATATCTCAGAAAGATTCCCTCTGATTAATAGTAGTAAACGGATTTCCAATTTGTCAACTCAAGTACATTTTAAGTACGTTTATGATAAACCATAATGGGATCAGTAACCCGATTAAAAGTGTACTTTGTGTTAGTTCGTTGTGCTAATATACAGGTGAGGTATAGAAAGATTACAAGATATACTATGATTTTTAACGTACGAGAGAGTAGTCGTAAATTGTAACCTAACGCAATTACTCTTTGTATAGATGAATCTTATAATGAACCGAAAATGGCGATTTGAACTGGCTTTAAAATGCTTATAGTAAATACTTAGGATTTTTGAGAATTTACTCAACTTATCACTATAACTCGGTGTACTGAGCTGTAAGCCATATTTATTCTATATAAACATGTAAACTGGATTAAAATATCAAACCGTACGATTCAAACCAATAAATAACTGATCAAGTCAAGTGACTACATCACCATGTGAAAATCGTGCTCTTTTAGTCTGTGTAGAACCCATCAAAATAGTTCTTTTTAAGTAACAAATAAAAGAACTGTACGTAAACATATAGTTAAATAATCCTAAAGTGCAATAAAGTTTACGATCAAGTCATGACATTATTTTCAACGATACAATTATTTGTGACAAGAAACAGTGTGATATACATGAAGAACAACTTACGAGGGAATAAAAACGGTAATTAAGTTTTACGTCGCAACCACTACTCACCTGTATGTACTTGTATTATATGAGCTTGCAAACTTTGACGTCGAGGATAAACTTTGGAGCAAGTCGCACACTGATATTCTTTTGCTGGTCTAGAAGGTGACGGAGTTGAAGGAGCTGTATGCAAGGGAATAAAATTCGGTGGTAAATATGGTTTTAAATAACCTAGGTAGTAGGTTAGTGACTAGAATACACTGAGAATAGTACTAAGTTGTATGATGAACATACCACCTAATGTACATGCATATATACATTGGTTAATCAAACCTTTTCTATATTTACTGGAAAAATCATTACAAATGAATGTTTCGAACTGACTGTTATTTATTTTGAACGTATATACTACAGCGTCAGAATTAAATGCTGTTAAACAGATTGAAAAATGACAAGAAATTTCTTGAGATAAATTAAATCGAGAACAAACTCTAAGCACAATAGTTCATGGTTAAGTTAAGCAACTTTGATGAGATACTATCTCCAATAAAAGATCGAATATGAATGGAGAGATAAAAAAATTCAAGAAAACAAATTATCCCCATGGCAAATCATTGAGAAGATCAAATGAATAATTCCGAATTCAGCTGAAACTGCAATACAAAAATCCTATTCAGCAAACTCTGCATAATTATACTGTGACCGACAGATGTAAGCCAATATATTATTACTTAATTCATTATCGTAGTGAATTATCACTGAAATGAGAACATTGATTTTTATCATTCATTAAATTCAATAAAAAAACTTATGAAGTTATGAAAAAGGACTGAATCATTTGACTAAAACATAAATATGTAAGATGAATGCAATTTGTGAGCAAAACAAAAATTACCAGTAACAGCTATTTGTGTTGAATTAAAAGTTATCGGTTTCACAGGTAAATGACTAACACCAAAAGGAGAAGTTATGAATGTTGCTGAGGTTGTAGCACAATTGGAACGAAATAGAGAATTAGTACTTGTCGGGAGAACTGCTGTGTGTGGATTCATAGTAATAGTATTTGCGAATGGAGTAGCTTGTTGTGGTTGAAAGAAAAATGCTGGCATAGGCATATTTACTCCAGGAGCAACCATCATTACCTGTGTACCAGAAGGCATTGCATTCTGAACAGAGCCAGGTGTAGCAATTATAGTGCCCATAGCTAAAATCAAAATAATAATGAACAATTAATTTTCTTATTTTAAGCGATATTATTAACTAAAACATAAATATGACAATGGTATAAGTAGTTTTTTAAAAAAAGAATTTTAATCAAATAATTTATTTGTTGAACTAAATCCCCTATTTTATATACGCAAATAATATAGAAGTGATAATAATGATCCTATCAAATTACTTTATAGTATACCGATCAAACTAATGATTCAAAATTATTAATGAACACATATCAATAATAAGTAGAAATGTTTAGTTGTATTATTTTCTTTTGCTTCTTTTTAAACTTAAATAAGACAACATCAAAGATCCATTATATCTATTTAATCTTTAAAAATAATTTAAAGATTCTTCTGTGTAAACATACAAAAATCTTGTAATAACACGAAAATACATCTCTAAGTGATCGGCAACATAAATAGTTAAACTAGTTAACCACAAAAAAAAAACGAACAACAAGAAAAGTTGTATGGAAGTGAACGCTGATTTACCAGTCCTTGAGTTAAGATATATAAATACAATTGAATTATTAAACCGAGGCTTTTCAAAACTGGAAATAGTTGGAAAAAACTTATTCGTATAAAAAAACAGTAAAAAAAAAAGCAATACCAAACATATGAAATCTAATATAATCATTAACTTAACCAGTTAATGTATGCTAATAGATAAACTTACGTAAGTTGACTTGTTGAGAATGAGGTTGAGTTTGAAGGACTGTCAGTTGTTGTTGTTCCTGCTGATGATGAATTAATTGATGTTGCTGTTGTTGTTGTTGATGTTGTTCCTGTTGTTGTTGTTGCTGTAACATTTCTTGTATTTGTTGTTGTTCTTGTTGAGTTTGTAAAGTTTGATGTTGTTGTTGGGTTTGTTGTCGTGGCACCATAAAAGATATTGGAAATGGAGTCTCTATGATATCAGTTGAAATGGTAAATAAATAAAAGTTTAAAGCTAGTTTAAAGAACGAAACAAAGCAATAACTAAACTGTATGGACTAGAATTTTATGTATAATATATATAACCAGATGATCTAAGAATGGAGAATTGAACACAAAGTTGTATCAGACTATATAATTCAAACGTAGTTGATTGAAAAGCAAGGAAAATGGATTGCAAATAATATTTCCAAAGATAAAAAGAAGCATGGAAATACTTCCCAAATTTCTCATTTCGATGTAAACAGTCTAATGACATTCAAAGGCTTAAAGAAGATTAACCACATATAATGCTTACGTAGTTTTTATGTTAAGTACATTATACAAAACGTCTCTAAATTAATAAAAAACAAATCACATCGAATTCGGATGGCGGATCGATGACGTGTAAGGATAAAAAGAACTATGAAGTGAAATAAAGATTAATATATCTACTATTTTCACAGCAATAAATTGTCGTTCAGAAACGGACTATCACGAATAAATATTTCAACATTTAGATGAATAAGGTCAGGAAATCTTAGATTTATTTATTGTAAAAGGTCTGTGCATAAAGCATATTACGCATAACCACTTTAACATTAGCAATTGTTGCTAATGTTGTTAGAGCTATTTATTACAAAACAAACTGACACCTATCGACTAATGATTGAAATTTATTTATTACTGACACTTCGAAAAGTGTATGGGTTAATAACCGGATATTGTGAAGAAATTAGAAAAGAATACTTAACGTAAAACTGACAAAATTAGTAGACAGAAAATTTTGTCAGATAACCAGCTTAACACCGAAAGATAATTACAAAATACACGCGAGTTAACTATATACATTAAGTTACACTTACTTTTATGGACAGAAGCCACATGACGCTCAAAATACCATTTCTGTGGAAACCCTTTATTACATAACGGGCACATGTAAGGTTTGGAATCTATAGCACACGAATAGATAAAATCCAATGATATACAAAGAAAAGAAACTAATAATAAAAGTCGTATCGTACAAATAAACATTTGATGATGATGTTGATTAAAAATGGGCTGACATATAACCGATGATGTCCACAGTCTTACTAGTCAAATTATCATTGATGAAAAGACAGTGGTATCTTTATAAAAGGTTTATTTATGGGGATGACATTTACTAATAAATTTGCTTTAGCATCAATTTTTCCACTCTGATATGTTAGATGCAACTTGATAAAGTGTTTCATTACCAATCTTGACACAATCCTTTAAAAAATAATTTGCAAAAAATTGATAAACACGTGTACAAGTACAACGTTAAAAAGTGAACTGAACGAACACACAATTTGTTTTGACACTTTTTTATTTAGGTACTTCCCACACTGCCGTGAATGTTGTAAATATAAGAAGCCAAAAGACCGAAGATATGGAGTGTGAAGAATGTGACTTAATCATTCAGTATATGTGAAATGACAAGAACAATTGTTTATCTATATTTTTAAACATGAACCCTGAATCAGATACCTTTATTCCAGTCATCCTGTCAACTCATGTATTTGCCAGTATCTGTAGATAAAATGTCAAATATAAAAATATTCATTTTCACTATGGTCAATACGCTGGATCGCAGTGGTACACCACTTAGTTTAAATGAATCTATGATCTATAAGATGTCAGAAGAGTAATAGTAACTTCTGGTAGTAAATGGCATTGTAAAATTAAGGCTCATAAATCATCATATTGATAATCATGATAAACTTTATCTGAAAGGTTACAATAATGTTATAACAAACCGTTGCAGAATGCAAATGAAACTTGAGGCAGTTAACTTACCACGATGAACTGAATTTGAATGTCTTAACAAATCGCACTTCCGAGCAAACTCTTTGAGACAATCATCACATTGATGGGGTCGTAGACCTAACAAATAAAAAGAACTCCATAATGGCAGTAAAACAGATTTTGATGATAAAAAACAGTTAACATTTCATAATGTAGACCTTAATGCTTAGTAACTCAGCTGGATTATCAAACCGCAAAACTCATCGAAAAAATCTAACAGTATTGTGAAACTTATTAAGTCGTAACATACTCAAAAGAGTAAGTCAATAAGAAAGTCACCCCTTAAGAACTTCAACTTGTACTGAAAATGAGTTACTTTGAAATGACATTGGGATTCCTACATAATTTCCTCTAAATATATACATTCGTGTCTGGCATGAGGCAGTTACTCACCGAAAACAACGGAAGGTGGTCGCCCGACATAGTGGATTGGTTGAAGTTAGACGATTGGATCCCGCCCCACAGCGAGACCGAAGGTCCTGGGATTCGAATCCCGTGTGAGGGTTGTGGATATGCAATATTAAGGAGTCTTATATTAGGAAGAGACGGGCACCAAATGCTTCCAGGTTTTCAGTGACGGATTTGAGTGGAATCCTTTACATCCGTTCAGTAAAATAAAACGTAGTGCCGCAATGTACTACGTACTTCAAACTAGATTCGAGATGATTACAAGTCAACTGAAACGTCAAGCTCTAGTCCCTCCAAGATAAAAATCTAACAGTGACGCTTCCCAGTCTAAAGGCAGAAAATGTAATATGTTAGTCAGATTTCTTCGATACACTTACAAGAAACTGATGTCCACAACCAAAAACATAGAAACGAGTGGTAAAAAGGGAGGAAACTTGACAAGCTGCAATAGAAGAGGATAGAACTAATTTTTATTTAAGATTTTCCATAGTATGATTTGAGAAGAATAAACTGAATTCGATGTGTGTGTTTTTCTACGGAAAATGGAGAACCACTGATAAAATATAGTGCTGAAACATTTAAAAGTAAAAGTTTTCAAAACCTACCTTTATGCAATGCATTTATATGCATCTGAAGATTCTTTTTTTCTGTAAACTGTTTTTGACATAGATTACAGTGGAAATCTTTTTTCTCTATAGAGAAAAATATAAAAGTATGTAAATAAATCTTAAAACAATTTAAAAAACGATCTATAATTTAAATGGCTTTATTATTCGGAAATAAAGAGATTCTGACCAAGTAAAAAACGATAATAATTTCTTGACTTTATCTGGTAAATATCCTTTTTGAGTTATTATCATAAATTATTGAAGTGAGAAATACTTTGAGAAACATTAGGAGATAAACAATTGACTTGGTTACAATCAATCAACTAAATAATTGTGTATTATACGGACTAATTTTAAAAATAAGTACAATGAGATAGATTAACTTATAATTATTGTAGTTTATTATTAAGTAGGAAAACTGTTTAAAAACATCATCAAACGCATCAAGCTCATTTCCATTTGGTATAGACTTTGAATAATCTACCTATATGAATAAGATCCAAGTTAAACTAATAAACATGAGGGGATATTTGTAACTCACCTGCATGAACTGACTTCATATGCCTGCGCATCACAGACCGTTTAGAAAAAGCCTTCTGACATATAGTGCATGTCACATCACGAATATCTAACAAAGTAGAAAATTATAAAAACAATGAGACTTAAAACTGAAAGTTAGTGGTTGAGAAATTTCGGATTAATCGAAAATCTAAAAGATAAAAGGTATTATTAGATTTACGACTCAATTCAGATAATAAGTATTACGTTAGAGAAAACGTCTATCGAATGTGAGTAGAAAGATAAGGATATGCACACTGAAGTAAATGAAGTATTGTTTTACTACGAAGTAGGGGAAGACACTGGGGTAAATGTATTAAATTAGAAAGATATTAGTTCAATAATCTCAGTCATATCAGTGTTTGAGGAATAGATTGAGTCAGCAAAACAGAACTAAACACACAATCAGATAACCAACAAGGTGAACACTCAAGTTTTTGGAAAAGCAAAATCAAAAGAGCGATGCTTATTAGATGAGTATTGCCAAGAGGTTAATAAAGAAGTAATAGCTTTGGAAACTGATAAGAGGATAAAACAGTAGCTCGAATAAAATTTAAAAACATAATTCCAACCACTAATATTTGCGTAGTTTAATTAGCAACTATGCAAAATATCTAGACTCTCAGTAACTGTTTGTACATGACCCTACAAACTCGTTTCAAAATAACTGAGTGGAAATCAAAATACAACTTTATATAGAGAAGCCTAAATCATACATTATTAATCTATCTATACGCCTATCAGTATTATTAACAGTGAATAACTACCACAAGCGTAACTTGCACACAAAAACCTAAGAAAACTAAAACGTTTAGATCTTGTGAACTCTACGTATTTTGGAAAATCTCATTCTATGAATGGAACAGGTTCACGTCTGTCGATATCAAACGAATCCTCACAGGTACGACACTGCATACAAATAACAGTGAAGAACTGAAAATACGACACTACTACTCAATTAGTCATTTATTCCGTACTAATATAAAGCTTGAACATAGGATGATAATATTTATACGTTACTATTCTACCTTGACTATTTAAACGGAATTGTGGGATAAATTGGCTGAGATTTTACACTTTTCTAATGTTTACCGTATTGTATCCAGCACTTGTAGACATTTTCCCATCCATTTAATGAGTGTTGCATATTATTGTAATTCCCAACAGAAACTTTATTTTAAGCCCTAACTTTTACTATCTATGTCTTTCATCCTGAATTTTAGGCTGTGCTACGCTGAAATATTCATAAGACAGTTGCGGACAACTCGAATCTTTTGAAATAAAATCTCTCATGAAAATTGCACTTTAGTATTCAGCATTCAACTACTAAATAAACAAAAAATGGATAGAATATATTCAGCGAAGATTTAAACCATTGCAGATACTCTCAGTCAAAAAAATTCGCTATATAATAAATTAATACTTCTTTGCATGTAAACTTGTACACTGTAAAAAAGTTGATTTTTACTGTGGTTAATACGCTAATACTGCTACAACAATTTCGAGATTATCCAAAAACTTCAATTCATTCGACAAGTGGTATTTTTGATGAAACTCAGAAGATGAGCAATTATTTATTTTATTTGTGAACTTATTTTTAAGATGCTCAAGATAAGGATTAGAGAAATAGAAAATGCTTAACCTACAAATTTTATCTATGAAAAGTTTTTAGAAAACTCCACCGAGTGTAAAATAGGATTTTTAAAAATTAGAAGGGAAAGTATGCAGAAAAACAAAAACAGGTGTCAAATCGTGTCAAATTCAGACTGACTACATGACTCAAACGAACTATTGAAAATGGCTACCGTACGTAAAATCATAAATAGGTGAAATTATCATACAACCGCTCGATTGAACTTTTCCATGTTCCCTTCCCGACAACTTTTAAGCTAGATCTCAACAATTAAGATAAAGGTTTATCCCTTGCTTAAAGTGAAGATTAGAAATTGGGAAATGCATCAATATTTAAACGTTTTTCAAAATGTCCTAGGTAACCGACCATTCAGGTTGTACGTTTAGGCAGCCAGACTTTAGACTACGTGTGCAATTATTACTGAAAAATCCTTTATTAGTTGACTAGCCGAAATTTTTAAAAATAATCCATTTCCGAACAATTTTGCCACTGAAGTTAATATCACGATTTGCGCAGATTAGGCTGCAGAGGTATAATTGGCTGCCTCTTACTGTCTGTCCATCATCGTTGTGAAAAAGACGTCCTTAGACCCAGTCGCTTTGTTGGTCATTGAGTTATATGTCTCTATTTAGAAGATATTAAGCATACCCTTGAGTAATTGTAGTGGTTGTGCTTGTGTGTCGATGTATTGGACACGAAGTTGCGTATTTTACAGAATCTCGTTAATAGGGGGAAGCAAACAGTGAAGCATTATCTGAAACGACTATGTTCAGAGTACCATAATGGCTGAAGATCCTGTCGACATTCTGGGAAGTAGGAAAATTCATAGTATAAATCATTAGGACTACTTTATGCCAATTTTAGTTCTATCTCATTTATTTATTTCAACACATAGATATTGGTACAAGGAGGCAACCAACTACATAAGCGCCACACAAATCTCATGTGATATGTGTCAGGGCTGTGATACTGCCCGGGTGCCCAAACCGAAGCAGGTCATTTTCTTAGGGGGCCACACCCGGAGCCTTCGACCTGAAGGTCTGATACACAAGGCAGTGGAGCATCGTAAGGAGATGCAGTCCCATGGTAGCCAGTGACCAACGGTTGATTCATACGCCATTTGTTCCTTCAGGATTCTGGAGCCTATATGCACCATTGGTTTGGAATCAGGGTTTTCCAACTCCCCTAGGTGGACTCACCGTGTCTACCGGCCCGGTTAAAGCGCCGGACATTCGCTTTTCGTCCTCTCAATCTCGTAAACAACACCCCCGCCACGAGAAGGCAATGAGTAGGAATTCCCTGGCAGAGGGTATATACGCGTGGCTATGTGAGAGCATTTCGAGAGGGAGAGCGGACTCTCACCACTCTCGGCCATACCAGGACATCATATACATGATGCTGGTAACTAGGGTGCGAAGTTGTTACAAATCCGTTAGCACAGCTTGTTTGGTTACTTGCAGAATAGTAGAGGTATTTTTCAGTATGTTTATCAGCTTAACGATATCCACAGCACTTTCCAACTAGATCCGTGACTTGCCGGTCTCCCTTCAGCCAGTTTACATAAAGTCCTGCTATTACTTTTCGTCTCCCCAGTACCAGAATGAACTAACGCATAGAAGAACAAAAAGATAGATTCACTAGATGACTCGAAGACAACAGGTATAAGTCTATGACAGAAGAACCATCTCTTAGTTGATAATAGTTGGATAATTAGCATTTCGGTAGTTCTGTTGACCATTAGCGGTTAATATATTTGATTAATTTTTGCAATAGCTAATCATGTCTTGGCTCGTTTTGATATCTGTAACATATGCTAGTGTGGCTCAAACAGGAAGTTTAGATCTCTGAATTAAATGAGCTCTGTAACAACTATTTCTTCGCACCACTGCCGGTGGTCTTCAGGCATGCATGATAGCACATCCGCTTGATTGAAATCCTGGATATATCGATAGTGGATCTCGAAGATACAATTTAATAGGAAGGTAGTCGCCTTGTTCAGTAAACTAGGATTCCTATCTTGGAGCCCACGAAGTGTCTGGTACATATTATTTTATGAAGCTATTTATTGCAAACACTAGAGCTAGTGCCTTTTTTTATTTCTCAATAGCTTTCTCAGCAGTAGCTAGTACACGGAAGGCATACAGTGAAATCATGGCAGTAAAGCCTTCGTCCAGAGAGTCGATTGGGATGATCACTCGATGTGCATCAAAGACAGTTTGGAAATGAGTAGTTTCTTTGATGGCTGTTGAGTAGCATGGTTTAGTTCTGATGGCCAGTTAGTCAATCATACGCAACACAGAACCTGATGCGTATATATATCGGTTTAAGTTGTCATACAATAGCACAACCACATAAGAATATCTCAAGAAAAATAAAGGAGTAGTAGTTAAAAAGATTGTGTATAAAAACAATAAAAAAAGATGTTAGAACATACTGAGATTTAAGTTTTAAGAAACACGAAGGGCGAATGAACATGTGCCATTCCGAACGATTTTGACTCACATCATTCAAATCTTCAACCATTGGTTACGATAATCACGCGGACCCCAACCAGGTAGCCTATATCTATTAGCAGGGCTAAGTTCTATTGTCAATGACTTCATGAACTGATACCTCGTTTTGATTTGGCTGCTTCTGGCTTCCGTTCAGCCTACTTTTACACCAAAAACATCACCCGTCACGGTAGATGGCGGTTGGACATACGTAACACATGTTCCAAACACCTCAGTTGATGTTGATTTACTATCTTATCAATTGATTTCCATCTTTACCTAGTACCCCATTCCTAACCCAGGTATTGCTTACTTCATTGTTCCAAAATATACGAGCAATGTTTCGAAGACACTTATGATCGAATACCAGTAAACTACGAATATCCTTTGCCTTTGATGACCATGTTTTCCATTCATAATGTGAGACAGAGGGAATTACTACGCAGTAAACTCGTCCTTTAGTTGGGAGGTGGATATCTCAACTAAACCACAAGTGACGCAAGTTGTCAAAAGCCATTCGAATCCTCTGAATCAGTGCCGAAATTTCGTCAGAAACCAAAATATCACGATTGATCAGACTCTCACAAAACAAGTGAAGAGGTCGACGCACTCAACTACTTCATTCCTTATCATTAATTCAGGCAAACTAAGTCAGTCCTGAAGCAACATTTCGCATCCCTTATTTGCTAGTATTGTTGCTCAGTATGATTAGAAGACTCTAGATCATGTCAGCGCCTTCATGAAACGGTCCTGTCATTTGAGTTTTTGGATCAAAAAGTAAAACTACCATCTCTAAAAAACTTTCTGAGACAAATTAACAAATTAAGTGAAAATGAAAAGAGTGGAAAACTGATAAATACCACGTGAGATTGGGGATTCTGATGATAGTTCACCATAAGCTCTAACTTGACCAGCAATGTCCGAGTAGAGCCTATACAATTTTAATGTACTTCTTTGGTACGCCTTTCAATGACAGAGAGCGTCACAGAACCTCTCAAACAACAGAGTCAAACAGTGATTTAAGGTCGAGAAATACAACCACAGTCAGACGGCAAAAATTATATTTGTTTTAAAACCTGATGAAGGCATAACATATGATTAATAAATGTACATCCAGGTCTGAAATTAAATTGGTTTTTACGAGTTCGCTCTTTACGATCCCTAGTTAAGTTTTGGATTATTATTGAAGCTAATATTTAAGGTGTTATGTTATTTAAACTTACTCTTCCATAGTTATCACAAAAGAATTTGTCTTTTCATATAAACTGAGATGATCAGCGATCAAGACCAGTTAGATGAGAGTGGATCCAGTTCCCAGATTAAAGCTAAGATCTCAGTCAGTCTAACTGCTAAAAGTGGATCAACAGCCTCAAAGATTTTTTAAGGCTAATTTATCTGAACCTGCTACATCCTTTTGTTTTAGATTGCCTATAGCTATTTCAACCTGATGATTAATGCCACTTGACGCACCTTTTGGGGGTCGACTTAACGGAGTACGTCCATTATGAACAGCAAGAAGAAAAGAGCTATACTGAGTTATAATTCCAACGACTTCTCGCAAAGATGGTATATCACTTGGCGCCTATGTTCGTCAAAAATAAGATCAAAATATTTTATCAACAGTAGAAAGAATTGGCATTTTGTAGGGCGTTGTCAGAACCCAGATTCCTTAATATGCCCAAGGACCTCCAAAATCCTTTAAATCAGTTTATTCTTCAACCTTCCCATAATGATGTAGTCTATGTATGTTGCATCCCCGTCAGTGTCTGATATCACAGATATCATAATCTTCTGGAAGATGGCTGAGATCGTATTAACTCCCAAAGACATTTGGTCATATTGGAACAGTCCCTTGTGTATGAAGATGATAGGGAGCTCGTGGTTTTTAGTGACAATTCCACCCGTAAATATGCTTTGGTGAAGTCCGATTTTGAAAATGTTTACCATTATCGAGTATAGTAAAGATTTCTTCTGACAAATGTAGAGGATGATGAATCTCTAAAGTAGTATTTAGTGCCGTTGAAAAGCCAGCAAATAAATTTACCAGTTGATTTTTCCAACGGGTAGTTACAAATTTTCTATAAACAAAATTCGTTAGTTAGATTTGTTTGTCTATTGATAAAAAACCGTGTTAAGTAAAATACACATTTATATCCTTTTAAATAAACAGTCCCATGCGATTCGCTTGCAAAATCATATTTGTGCTAGTTTTCTATCATTTAGCTTACAATAAATACTGTCTTGTGTATAAAATAAATGAATATTTGTAACTTAAGAATCAGTGGAACAATACAGTTCATGGACAAGCCAAATCAATATTTTACAGTGGACAAGACAAAAGTAATCTTGTAAGATCATGCTGAAAACAGCTGACTAGATTTAAGCAGCGGATAAGCAAATAGTGAGAGTGAAAACTACTCATACAAAAAAAGCAATAATAAACAATTTGCTAGGTTTCCTTATGGCATACCGCAAAATTAAGCAACATTTGGATACACTGTTTAGGAACATGGGTATACTCATTAATTGTCTGAGCTACGAGTAATGTGCGAGAAATGAAATTCCATAAAATGGACATATCGTAAGTCATTGTAATCGCTAGGTTGATAAATTACGATGAAACCAAGATTTATAAACCACACGATGTAGACATACAGTCTACAAAAGATTGCTATTATACAACGAATTTTTTCAGACTTGTTTAAAGAAACTAATTTATTCTACACAGTGACAAGATTAAGAGATTTTATTAAAAAAGGACAAGGAAAATTTTGAAAAGTAATATCATATATTAGTAAAGGACAGAGAAATCACCTAAATGTAAGAAAATAATTAACTCACTTTCATGAACACTTTTCACATGAGCTTTTAGAAGGAAACCTTTAGCATAAGTTTTGCCGCAAAAGTTACACTGAAAACGACGTAAACCTGAAATGTATGTATATACAATAAGAAGTATATTTCAGAATAAATCCTCTTCAGAAGAAGTGTTTTAATTTAGAAAAGCAAGTTTCAAGTGACGAACGTTATAAATCAAGTATCAATATGCATGAGATTTCCTTGCATAACAAGTGAATTTTCAAATGAATCCTCAAAAAGGTGATAAAATAATGAGAAGTTAACTAGTTTACAAGTGTTCAGATATAGAAATCGAAGTGTCTATTTGCACACAGACTATTTCTATTTTATTTTCATATCATATCTAACGAATAAGGACAAAGATAAGTCAAACAAAAGATTCCTAAGGATAAATGTAGGCAACGAAAACAAAATACTTAAAATAATAAGTCAGGCTTACAACGAGTGAAGGCTATATGTTTAATACAATTTTAGTCTTCTGCAGGGATATCTGTTAATTCAAACAGTGAGTAATGCTGATCTTTTCAGATACACCACACTAGTATGTCTTAATAAAAATGAAACAGACTAGAATCTTCTTGTCAGTTACATTCAAACACATATGACTCGGACCAGCGATACTATTCGATCGTTCAGACGAAATCCTAAGACCCAGTAGTTGAAAATCTAGTGCTTTCCCACTAAGTCTTTGCTCTAATTAAAAAAGTATGACATCGTATCCACTAATTAAACAAGCCATAGAGTTATAAACTTATATCTCCTGAAATTAATAACAAGTATACAACTAATGTAAAACAAATAACAAGCACATTGGGATTTCAAGACTGAAAATAAACACAATATTCAGGAACCCGTGGCCAACAGTCGGAAGTGAATACCAGTGAATTACAAATCTCATTTTTTGTCGTAATATGTTTTTTGCAAATCAACAGAAACAGTGGTACCATTGAACATAAAAAAAGCAGGCAGTTAAACATCATAAAGATGATGGATGAAATTTTAACATTAACTACATAAAGAAAAGTGAATATGATGCCGATAATAATAATAACAATAATAATAATAATAATAATAATAATAATAATAATAATAATAAACAACCCTAACAAAATTCCGAAAGAAAAAAGTCGATAAAATCAATAGAGATAAATATGATCACCCTTATTGTTCTTAAGTGCAATTTATGAATAGACATACAGATAGGCAGACAGACAGACAAAAAGAGAGAGATGAATAGAGACTTCGGCTTATTGGAGAATTGGAAAGAGAAAAGAGTAGTATAAAATACCATAGAAGGATATGAAAAAACATTCACACAAAAAAGATCGATGTCGAAAATTTATTTGATTGGCTTATAAGAATTTGTATTCGAAAATTTAGAGAAGAAATAGATGAATGCAGTTAGCGAAAAAATTTTAAAATAGCACACAATGTAGGCAGAATACTTTGATGAGAAAAATAGCACAACTAAGTGGTTTTAGCTCAGATCTACAGCTGATCAGTTTTAAAATAACCAATTAAATCAAGGCCAACGTGAAGTGTAAACCTAAGGGACAGAGTGTTACGATGCATAAATCGTCACAGATAGACATTATTAGTGAAAAAAAAACTAGAATAAAAATAAATCCAGATATGATATGCTTACAGTCATACATTAACTACCTCTTTATACGTTAGGAGTTAGAATTCATTATTGCCTTATATTATAATCAAAAATAAAACTCATTAGTAAGTCTTAATAAAAATAATATTTGAAGCTCATTTCCCTACGCTTAAAAAGTGGAGAAACGAAATATCTGCAAACGTCAAACAACCCACATGTTTACATAGTAGGAGCAAGGTTGTTTTAATAGACTATAAAGAAGTTGGGGATTGTTGAAAAATAACAAAAAAGAGGAACTGATTTACGAATGACGCAACTCGAAATCATTTGCAATGGAGCACGTGCATACACTTTTGACATAGGGTGTTATCGCTCAGTTCTTGCATCCTTGTAAAGTGAAGTGCTTAGATTGAATACTGCCTGTGGTACGCTTGTTTTCCTAAAATCAAGGTATTGTTAGTACGAATTTTTTTGGAAAGAACATCCAGTAGAATAGAAGATACAAATGAAAATTTATAGTCGATTACAAACTGACTTTACTGTTCCTTTTCATCTATAAAGAATATAATAACAAAATAATGTGTTGGAAGATAGCTTGTGATTGGGACGTAGAACTTAAAATAAAAACAAACTATCTGACATATCAATACTCAAGTCTCACAGTTTCTTCTTTTAGTATTCTTCAATAAACCTCAACTTATTTAAAGCTTATTAGGACAGCCTTGCTACTACTGTATGAACACGTGGGTTGTCTGACGTTTGTCTTTTGCCAGGTCCTAAGACTTTGAATTCTACACAATTATTTTTTTTATTTCACTAATTTATATTTTCTTGAATCGTATCTTTGATCCCTACTCTTTTCTATTACCTTTAATACAGCTACTACCTTTACTAATCCAGGATTTTGCCTAACTATTACATCTGGCTGTGCTAACGGAGTGTGGCAACTTGAACCAATGTACAAACGTATCAAATTCTACGCTGCGTTTGACTGACTGATGAGCTTATTTCGAGCTTTGACATTGAGGATAAGTCGGTGAGTATAGCCAAAAAAATCTGAAACCTTGGAGGGACAACATACATTTAACATACATTCAAACAAATATAAAGCTCGTCCGACTTGACTAAGGGTTTTATCCTTTCAGTCGCAATTAGGTATATATACTGCGTATCAATCAAATAAAATCAGGAGTTGGATTAGTTATGTGGAATTGTTCATTTTTCATGGATTATAATTCATTATTATTCAAAACGACGTTGGGGAGAACAGTTTTGATTTCTACACTCCCATTAATAATTTATGTCGATTTGACCAGTATCCTTCGAAGATAAACAAACGGAACTTGATGAAATTTACTTATTTTGAGACCAATTTAGATTCGACAGTTACCGTCAGTGACGAATGGAGACCCAAACAGTGATGATAATAATAATAATATGCCTCGTGAATTAAGTATAGCTAAGTTAGTAAAAATGTTCTTTGTATCCTTAGATCCTCCACTTTGAGAATTTATTGATGACTTGCCTCACTAACTCGATTTTTCACACCGACATCTAGAATAATTTTGAACTCCTTATCAAAGATTACGTGTTCTTTATCTTCAGCTTTTGTCATTCGCTGGATGTCAGAAAAAACGGTTTTAGTCAGTGAATTTTTCTGTTCTTCCCCTTTGCACTGTAATTACACTCGGCTGGGATAAGTTACTTACTTACTTACTTACGCCTGTTACTCCTCGTGAAGGAGCATAGGCCACTCACCAGCATTCTCCATCCAACCCTGTCCTGGGCAATCCTTTCTAGCTCCGTCCAGTTGTAATTCATCCTTTTCATATCTGCTTCTATAATCCGACGCAATGTGTTCTTTGGCCTTCCTCTTTTTCGCCTCCCTTCAGGGTTCCAAGTTAGGGCTTGCCTCGTGATGCAGTTTGACGGTTTGCGTAATGTATGTCCTATCCATTTCCATCGTCTTTTCCTAATTTCTTCTTCAGCTGGAAGTTGCTTTGTTCTCTCCCACAGAAGGCTATTGCTGATGGTATCCGGCCAGTGGATGTTGAGTATCTTGCGTAGGCAGCTATTTATAAATACTTGTACTTTCTTGATGGTGGTTGTTGTAGTTCTCCAAGTTTCAGCTCCATACAGTAGAACTGCCTTGACGTTCGTATTGAAGATTCTCACTTTGATATTGGTTGAAAGTTGTTTTGAGTTCCATATGTTCTTCAATTGTAGGAATGCGACCCTTGCTTTGCCGATCCTCGCCTTTACGTCTGCATCTGAACCTCCTTGTTCATCGATGATGCTTCCTAGGTATGTGAAGGACTCTACATCTTCCAGAGTTTCGCCATCAAGAGTGATTTGATTGCTGTTCTGCGTGTTGAATTTGAGGACCTTGGTTTTCCCTTTGTGTATGCTGAGGCCTACTGATGCAGAGACTGCTGCTACACTGGCTGTCTTCATCTGCATCTGTTCGTGTGTACGTGATAGGAGGGCTAGGTCGTCTGCGAAGTCCAAATCGTCTAATTGATTCTGAGTTGTCCATTGTATTCCGTGTTTTCCTTCAGATGTCGAGGTCTTCATAATCCAGTCGACCACCAGAAGAAAGAGGAAGGGAGAGAGTAAACAGCCTTGTCTGACTCCAGTCCTTACTTGGAATGCATCTGTCAGCTGTCCTCCATGCACTACTTTGCACTGTAGTCCGTCGTATGAGTTCCGGATAATGTTGACAATCTTCTCAGGAACTCCGTAGTGTCGAAGAAGTTTCCATAATGTCCTCCTATCTACACTGTCGAATGCCTTTTCATAATCAATGAAGTTGATGTATAGTGATGAGTTCCACTCACTGATTGTTCGACGATGGTCCGTAGTGTTGCAATTTGGTCTGTGCACGACCGATCCTTACGGAATCCAGCTTGTTGATCTCGAAGTTGGGCGTCTACTGCATCCTTCATCCGGTTCAGCAACACTCTGTTGAAGACTTTCCCTGGTATTGACAGTAGTGTAATGCCTCTGTAGTTTTCACATTTGCTCAGATCTCCTTTCTTTGGAATCTTGACGAGGTGTCCTTCTTTCCAGTCCATCGGCACTTGTTCCTCCTCCCAAATCTTTTTGAATAGAAGGTACAGCATGCTTGTGGTTGCTTCGATGTCTGATTTCAGTGCTTCAGCTGGTATGTTGTCGGGTCCTGCTGCTTTCCCGTTCTTGATTTGTCTGACGGCCATTCTAATTTCTTCCGTCGTTGGTGGGTTGACATCTATAGGAAGATCTATGTGTGCTGCTTCGATGTCCGGTGGATTCATTGGAGCCGGCCTATTCAGGAGTTCCTCGAAGTATTCCACCCATCTGTTACGCTGATGTTGAATTTCGGTGATTGGCTTGCCTTCTTTGTCTTTGACCGGCCTCTCTGGTTTACTGTATTTCCCTGCTAGTTTCTTCGTTGTATCGTAAAGCTGTTTCATATTTCCTTCTCTAG